TGTTCAAGATACCGGAGTTTTGGTTGAGACCCAAGTTTTGCCTAGCACAGGGCTGTTTTAGCTCAATTGTGGCCTCTGCTGGAATATCCCGGTATTGCAAGTCGGCTATGAATAAACAAGATGGATTTATGCATCCTTCTAATGTAAGGAATCTTCATTGTGATGAAAAGCAACTCAGAATATGGTTGTATTGCACAGTTTCAGTTTTACAGATCCTCAGAATGATTTATGTAAAGAGTTCTTCATTTCTGATGTCATGATGGCTGTTACATTGTGCCTTGCTCATGCATGTAACCCAAGAGCTGCACTTTGTGCTGTAAAATGTAATAGAGGTAAACACTCGGTGACTTTTTTTTTTTGTTTGTTTAAAACGTGTATAGATGGAAATAGCTTCTTCACATATCTGGGTATGCATTGAATGTCCTGGAGACCTCCAAAGGAATCTGTAGATGTTCCATGTTTGAAGACAAGATGTGGATGTTCTTCTGTACTACTAAGACTTGCTGCTCTTGTTCTGTGTTCCTGTTTTCCCATGGATGAGAGAATAACTGGCTGCGCTTTAGGACCCTGTACAAATAACTGGCTGCGCTTTAGGACCCTGTACAAACGGCGTCTTACAAAAAGCCCACCGGGGTGAAGAGCACGGAAGCTGTGATTACTAGTGCCATTACAACAGCAGACATGGGTTATCTGTACAGAGAGGGTAATGGGGAGGGATGAGTGAATTTAGTCCTGGAGACATATAATGTCAGCAATATGAAGTTCAGTGGGAGAGCACTGCTGAGAAAAAACATAGGCAGATCTTCATTTTCTCCTTCTCCTTGCCATGCAAATATTTGTGCAAATGACAACTTACCTTGCTTCAAAGACACGCAGAAAGTCAAGGCTTGAACCTACTTTTGGCCCGATAATCTGGTTAGCTGTACCAGCATGAAGCTCATCACCCCCTCCTTCATTGAATCTGTCATATAGCTTGGAGGGTTTGCGATGTGAGAACAATCAAGTGTGTGTCTGGAGCTGATAAATTCTTGTCTGTTCCTCTACTAATTCATCTTACCATTTCAGATAAAAATTCTTTTAATATTTGCCTGGCGACAGCACCTGTATGCAAGCTCTTTGGTATAAATAGTGCTGAAAAGGTCAACTCAGGGTGAAGGAAAATTCTTCCTTACAGGATTTTCACTGCATAAACAACCTACTTTGTTCTGAGACTTTTTCTTTTAGTGATTTTAATGTTTTCTTTAAATAAGAAGAATGTAGTATTTGGCAAATTGTCAGTGTGAGAATGTCACTCCAACTTTGATATTCAGTCCAAATTAAATCTTGGTTTAAAAAAAAATAAAAAAGGATTTTTCCCAGTTTTATATTCTGGGAAGTGACAGCACATATGCAGAATACTGTAATTAGGTTATATGACTGCTTACTAAAAATAGATCAAAAGAAAGGGAATAATATTGTAGTTAGATTATTACTTTGTATTTAATGAGAACTTGTGTAATGTAGAAAATGTATAAAGAAATGTTCTACAAAATCCTTTCTAACTTCTGTAGCTCAGTTTGTAGAGGATTTCGCTGGATCTTGTGATGCAATTAGTGCATCTGCACGTTTTGCACCTTGTGCCTCCAGGAGAAAGGTTAAACATTTCAAAGAACGTTGTTCAAGATCAGGCTGCTCAAACTTGCTGTATACTGAGCTTATAGAGTGAATCTTCAAAGACATTACTGTATGGAGCAGTAGTCTAATTCTTTTTCAAGCTTGAAGCAGTAATATGCAATGTATGTATTTCCATTTGTGACAGAAAGTTGCTGAGTAAGAACCAGGTCTCTTTTTGTCAAGACTTGGCAGGCTTTTACAGAACCGCCTGTGAGAGCTGAGGTTCTTCCAACTAGTTCTGGTTGGTGCTGCAGTTCATAACAAAGTCCTTGGCTTCCTTATTTCCGCTGTGTTAAAGGCAAGTAGTGATGGGGATCATCATGCCTGAATGATACAACTGCATTCTTATTTAAGTGTTGTGTAGAGACATAATCAGCTTGAAATCCTTGCTTCAATTAGTAAAACGTTTATCAATTATTGCTGAAATAGGCTAAGGCACTTTTCTGGCATGTGGAAGGGCCGACGTATGGGTTCAATTTTTGCTTCAACTTGGCAAAATTCAGGTTGAACCCAGATGTCACTAAGAGTGGTGTTATGTGGAATTTTTCCTTGAAAAGCTGTGATTCAGCTTAGATGATGCTTTGCAAGAGAGAATCCCAAATGGCAAAGACACTGCTGCAGAATTGCATGCTTCTGAAGACACCATAATCCTGTGCAGTGCTTGTGCCTCCCTTGCAGATCTCTGTGCTCTCTGTCAGCTTGGGATAGTACTAGGTGAGAAGCAGGATGTAAAAGTTGGTGTATTTTTGGCTGAGAGCCTTAATAATGATCATAGAATCATTAAGGTTGGAAAAGACCTTCAATATCATCTGGTCCAACCATCACCCTACTACCAATGTCCCTAAGAGCTAAGTCGAACCATTCCTTGAACACCCCCAGGGATGGTGACTTCATCAATTCCTCAGGCAACCCCTTCCGATGTCAGACTACTCCTTCTGAGAAGAAGTGTCTCTTAATTTTCAACATGAACCTCTCCTGGAGCAACTTCAGGCCATTCCCTCTAGTCCTATCGCTAGTTATCTGTGAGAAGAGGCTGACCCCCAGCTCCCCACAACTTCCTTTCAGGTCCTTGTAGAGAGCAGCAAGGTTACCCCTGAGCCTCCTTTTCTCCAGACTAAACACCCCCAGTTCCCTCAGCTGCTCCTGACAGAACTTGTGCTCCAGGCCCTTTACCAGCTTTGTAGCCCTGCTCTGGGCATGCTCCATGGCCTTGACGTCCTTCTTGTACTGAGGGACCCAAAGCTGAACAGAGCACTCGAGGTGCGGCCTCACCAGTGCAGAGTACAGGGGGATGATCACCTTCCTGGTCCTCCTGGGTACACTACTCCTGATACAAGCCAGGATGCCGTTGGCCTTCTTGACCACATGGGCACACTGTCAGCTCATGTTCAGGTGATCATCAATCAGTACCACCAGATCCTCTGTGCAGCTTTTGTGCCACTCTCCCCCAGGATTGTAGCACTTTATGGGGTTGTTGTGGCCAAAGTGCAGGACCCAGCACTTAGCCATGTTGAATCTCATCCCACTGGCCTCTGCCCATTGACCCATCCTGTCCAGGTCTCTCTACAAGGCCTTCCTATCCTCCGGCAGACTGACACTTCCCTCCAACTTGGTGTTGTCTGCAAACTTACTGAGGGTGCCCTCAGTTCTCTTGTCCAAACCATCAATAAAGATATTAAAGAGGATGGGCCCTAATCCTGACACCTGGGGAACACCACTTGTGACCGGTTGCCAGCTGGGTTTCACTCCATTCACCACCACTCTGGGCTTGGCTGTCCAGCCAGTTTTTAACCCAGCAGAGTGTGCCTGTCCAGGCCATGGGCTGCCAGCTTCTCCAGAATACTGTGGGAGACCATGTCAAAGGCCTTGCTGAAGTCTAGGTAGGCTACATCAACAGCTTTTTCTTTATGAATAAAATAGGTTTTGAAATCTGTTTTGAGGTTTAAAAAAAATGACACTTGATTTGGCACTTTAATGACAATAGCTGAACAGTTTCCACTCTTAGAGACATTTAAGATCTTTATTGTGTCGTGCATAGACACTTTGGTGGCGCAAGAAGGCAGCATATGAGAAATAAAGTTGTATCTTTTTTACCCTACTTTAGTCTTAGAAATAAGTGCTTTATCTACTTCAGGACAATTGTATTAAGTTGCTTTGGTGTTTGATTATACACTGCATTCATGAGCGTGGGGGAACAGCTGAACGACTTTTGTTCCTGGCTGAAATTACACACAGACATAGTTGGAATAAATTATGTCAACACCATCAGAGTCACAACACTGACAATTTGCAGTAGCCTTTTTAAGATAGTCTTTTTAAGACGTTCAGACTTTTTTAACACATTCTTTCTGAACCATGCTTAAACAGGCCACAGGGACTGGCTTTTTTTTTTTTTTCCTTTTACAAATTAAATACATAATAAAAAGGAGTTATAGGCTGTGCGCTCGGCCTTATGGCTAACAGTATCTGAAATAGCCTGCGGTGTTGGCCATGTCTGCGTGGTGGCTGCGGGCAGGCAGGAGGGAAGCTCTGAGGCACTGGTTTCTGTGTGGTGGTGGCCACGCTTCCCTCATGGCCAGGGGAAAGCGTTCTGGGCTGAACCGCCCAGATTGGGCACTTGGGGAAGAGATTGAGACAAGGGATTAAATTTTGTGAAATTTTCTGATTAGTGTTATTGTGTCCTCCGTACTTTCCTTCTTACTGTGAAAGAAGAGTCGGTCATAATAAGGTTTTGAACAGTGTTGTACCATGTGGGCCCTGAGGGTACTCCACGCCTGACTGAGCCTGCCCCACCTCCCTTCACACTGGCAGTGCCCGGGGCCTCAGTGATAGCCCGGTCTTGGCTGTCCCTGTCCCCATTGCAATGCCCAGATATCTGGGGCTGTGTCTAACCCTTGGCCTGGCCCCAGGGAGATGCCTGACCCAGACAGGTGGGAGAGGTGGGACAGGCCTAGGCTGCCAGGCCCTGCCGCCATGGGGAGCTGCTGGAGCCCTCAGCCCTGAGCCTTGCTGTGTCCTGGCTTAAAGGTCGACTTTGTTTCCGTCTGGCATCCTTCTTGTAGGCTTATAGTACTGTTAACCCAGCGGTGTGTGTTAGCCTCCAGCCATGTGGTGAGAAGAGGCTGTTTTGTGCGTATGCTTCAGAGCCTGCACAGGTTGTGAATCACATCTGTGAGTGCGGCTTTTCTCTTTAAATCAAGCAGTTACTTGAAACACAAATGCATCAAAGGAAGGACTGTAGAAGTGTTTCTGTTAATGGCTCATAAATACTTGTTTTTAAACATCCAAAGGTGTTCTGGGTATCCCTGATATAAGTTAGGGAAACACAAATGGAAGAAAGCCATAGGTCTTGCATATTAAATATTTCATTCACATTGTTAACAAATTGCAGTTGGCAGAAAGCTATACAAATCCAGAAGCAGGTATTTTACAGTAATTCACATTTTAAGAATACGTTTTCAGTAAATCCGCATGACTGTGTTGGGGCCTTGTGGTTTGCTGATGTCCCCTTTGATGTGGCACAGGTGTAGTAAAAATGAGGGCCACCTGGCTGGTTTTTGTCAGTGATGGTGGCAGAACATCATAGAACTAGGAAACAGCGGGTAATTCCTGCTGGTTTTCAAAAATCTGAATATTTGACTTTTATTTAGCAACCTAAACTGAATATTTTTTTCTCTATCTAACAAGGGTATAAGTTAGGTAGTAAAATATATTTAAAAGTGTGCATCTCCTAGTTCTCCCTTGTCATAGACTGAGGAATATTTCTATGTGGGGTTTTGTGCCTTTGTTTTTTTTGTGTCTGATGACTTTCCTTTCAGCAAAGTCAATCTCCCATATTACAAAATAGGAAGCTGCAATAAACTTTGAGCATTTTTCACAGTATGCCCTTGAAACCATGTTTGTATCCCTAAGGGGGTTATTTCCCAACATGAGTGTCTGTTGCTGTTACAGAGATAAAAATAAACAAATGGCTGGAAAACCGAAGAGGAGTCTTTCCAAACAGATAACTTCTGGAAGAAACTTCAGTGATAGACATCTCTAATCTGAATTTTGCAGCCTTTGATGGGTAGAGATGTAGCTGGGACACGATCTAGGTTCTAAAGTCAGTAATCACCATTCTCTATCCCAACTGTTGCCCACTAATCCTGTGTAGTGTGGTACAAACCTAAAATGAGGTTGCAGTAGCAGTGCTTAATTTGATAATCTGAGTCCTTAAACACTTGCCACAAAACCTAATTCATACTGCAAACAATAACATAGTTTTCTGAGTTGCAAGAAAAAGACTCTTAGGGTTAATGAACAAAGGAGCTCAACAGTGAACAGCGATTATGCAAAGTAATGTGCTACAGAGCTGTCCATTGGAAAGCAAGGCCAAAGCCCCATTGAAATTCCTTGAACACCACTTGCGGTAAGCCTAGAATGGTTGATAGATTTACAGTTGCTGCTTATATTTATTATGTGGAAGAAACAATCCCTGTAAAACTACTGAATAGTTATGATATGTTCAAAAACCGCAATTGAATTCTCATATACCCACCGCCTTTCTTTCTAACCAATTTACTTATTGTAGGGTTGATCTGTGGAGCAGCTGAGGGCACGCACCGCACATTAATTTTGTTGGTGTATGTACAACTGTATGTCATGGGATGCTTTGAAGAATTCATCCTATTTCTGTACAGATGTGGGCAAAAGCTCTATAGAAACCTTTCCACAAATATTCATTTGCATTTCAAAACTAACTTGCTTGTACCCTTTCCAGAACTGCTTCTTCCAAATACAGCAGTGAATTCACCTTCGTGAAGGTTAATAGCAGGAAAATTCAAGCTTCCCTGCATGAGAGTTTGTAGATAGTGAACTTGTATTATAGAGAAGTGAATATTTGCCTTCAGCATTCTTTATTATAAAAGTCACGTTCTGCCAAATAGCAGAACTGATACTGTGATCAGTTGCAACTCACCAATATAGAACAATGATAAATAACTGCACTGAACTCTTTTTTTAAAAGTGAACTCTTAAATTAAAAAGAAATACACCAAGTATATATGAATTATGTATCTTTGCACAGCTGGAGTTAGTAGCTAAAGCAGGTAACTGCTTGATAAATATTTCAGATTTGAGTTGTATTTCTTTGTTAACTGGATTGACTGGGCATATTAAATCCAGGCATGTAGAGGGGATTGAATTGTTCACTTTGGACAACACATTGATTTCTAGCATATCTGAGAAATGCAGTGGTTCAGAGTGGAGTATTTTCATCAAATGAAAAATAAACTTTTTTATATTCTTCAGAAATATAGTAACCTAACTGGGAGATATCCATAAAGAATCTCCTGTAAATGGCAGCAGAATGGTGAGGAATTTGATACTGGTCAGTGATCATACTGGTTGAGACAGGGAGACAGGCAGGTCACCTGAGCAGCAGTAAAGATATTCCTAAAGGCTTACTAGGAGACAGTGCTTGGCAGAAAGCACGGAGGGGAAGTTGACTCCAAAATTCAAGTGCTCTTTTTGTTGCTGTAGCCTGTCTCTTGAAGCGGACTGCAATGAATTTGTCCAGACGGGCAGAGGGGAGAGAGGGAGAGGACAACTTCTCTCTCAGGTGTCCATTGCAGCTGGACTATTCAGGCTGTGGTGTCTTTTGTGCTGAGCTGGAAGCACAGGGCAGTTCATATCTTGTTTTCCTGCCATCCATGGGCATTCTTCCCAAATTTGTATACCAGCCTTCTGTCCACTCGTTCCAAAATGCCTGTTTTATAATAGTATCTGCAGGGGAAAAACAAGCAAACAAAAACAATGGAGAAAGTAGTAGAACGCAGATTACAGGAGCTCTTTATGTGGGCTCCATGGTCAGAGAACAGCACAGGAGTCCATGTGTTCTTTCCAGTCTTTATTTCTGGTAAATGGCTATTTTGTGACTTTAGAGGGCAATAGCTTTCCCAAGTGCTTTGGATTATACCTTTCACTGTTTGAAAAATAGAAGGAATACAAATAAGTGTTTTATTTGGTTGGTTGGCTGTATTTTTACCTACGATTACCACAGTTCAGAAGAAACTGCCAATGTTACTGCTAGAGCAAGATGGGTCATTTTGCAGATGTAATCTAAATTCTCAGCTGGGTTAAAGTGTGATAGCTTCACTGCTATCAATAGAGTTAAAACTCTGTACTAGTTTAAATTTAGCCCTGTGATCTTATTTAGAAATAAAGGGAACTGGGTGTTACTCTGACATACAGAATAACCAGGAAGAAAGAAAGTAACCCCCATCCGCCCACCCTGAGTTTTCAGGATAATTATGAGAAGTGGATGCCGAGGTAGAAGTCAACTGCAGTGAGGGGCCCTTCCACCTCTTAACTCACCGGAGAGCTCTGCTCAATTTTTCATATGTCATTCTATCATTTTTCTTCCTTTGTCCCCACATCTTTGCCAGAGCTTCTGATTTAACAACCCGAAAAATGCCTTGTCCCCTGTCCTCCCATTCCAGAATGCCTCCATTTTCTTCAGGAGAAAGAAGAAGGTCTCTTACAAATTCCCACAAATGAGAACTCTGCAGGTCTGGAACGGGAAGAAGACAGCTATTTAGTAGATTTTTTCTTATTCATGCCAAAGTACCAAGACAGAATTATATTTACAGTACACTCTGTCACCAGGTAGTCAATCTCACTGTCTGGTTGCATTTACCAGGCTATAACTTTTGAAATTTTAGTGCATCCACTTTGTCAGTGGATTCACATTACTTGCTCCAGGAAAAAATAAATCAGGGCTTTTCAAATGCCTGTTGTGTTAGAATCTGTCTCTACTCCAGGAATTTTATTGTCTTGCACAGTTTAAGTTGTCATTCATTGGTTCTGTTCCACTCATCGTTGACAGCTTCCACATAGTATTTAACTTGATGCTTTTAAAGCATTTTTCAAGTTCATGTAAAGTATTTGGAGTGAAAGATTGTAAAAAATATTGGGTTGACTAAAAATGAGATGATAGAATGAGGAGCTGCAGCATTTTCTAGCATTGATGGATTCCTCTCTATTACTTCAACTCGATTCAGAGGCTTCTTTGGGCATTAGATATGCCATAAGTAGAGGGACTCTACTAAATCCGTAGGCATAGCTGTTACATGTAGCTATTGCCTTAACTTCAGATTGGTTGGATAGTAGCTAATCAAGGTACCAGGAGTTAAATGAATGCCAAATCCAAACACAGACCCTGAGCATTTAAAAATCACAAGTCTGCCCCTCCAAAGACCTGGGAGCAATAGAAGAATAATGGAAGTTATAATAATATCTGAGGTTTCCTATTTGGTTTTCTGTGTTTAGAACCTTAAGGTTATTTTCAGTTTATGCTCTCCAATCATTCTGCAACTGAGATGGCTAGAAATACAAACAGAAAAAGAGATGTGGCTTTAAGAAAAACGCCAAGTACCTCAAGTCTCATGATAAAATCATGAGAGCTGGCAGTACTTGAAAGCCAAACCTCAGTGAAATTCTATTTATTTGTGGTATCATTAAAGTCTCTTTTGATAACCACATGGAGCTGGAGATTTAGAGCCATGTGGCCTGTGCAATCTTAACTCCTGTTTCGAGTTTCTGATGTGTACTTACTTGTTCTACCATGACTGTGACATTCCTGGCCGTTGATGCCACCTGCCCTCACGCATGCCTTATCACGCGCTGGGACTGAACTGCAGAATAACGTGAGAAGTGAAGAAGGAACTCCTGAGTCTGGTGGCAACTTGGTCAAAAGGTCACCTATTCAAATGTCATGCAACATTAAGTCAAAGTGGGTATGGGAGCTACTAACTTTATCTCTTTAATAAAGCTCTAGCACAAAGGTAAGCCCAGGTGAATAATTAATGCAACTGGATGGCTTGCAGCGCAACAACACACATGGCGTTTTTGTCAATGCTATATTCAAAATGCTTGGATTCTGTAGGCTTATGGAATTGGGTGCCTGGCATGCACGGATGAAGGCTGTTCCCTGTGATGTGCAGTCTGAAGGTTTCGTGGCTTTGTGCCATGTGATGGTTCTGAGAGGTCAAAACCACTTTGTAGAGGATTATGATATTTGCCAATATACTTGCACAGGTTATCAGCACTTGAATCAACACTACAGAAGTGTCTGTCTCAACACCGTAGTGATGAGAGAACAACTAGAAGAGGATATTGATTGACCCAAACTGCAAGGATTATCAAAGTCTGCTAAGAACAGCAATTGCAGACTATGGCTGTAAAAATATCTGTCTATTGGGTACAATTCTGGAGAGAAGGGTGAGCAGTGAAATCCTATGAAAGTTCACAGATTTATTTCACTGGATAAATAGTAGTGGGCTAAAAGTACCAAAATAGGGGAACTTTTGTGAAGTAGAAACACAGTTTTATGTTGTTATTATCTTGTGTTTCTAAGAGCTGTCAACCTGAGTCTATTTTGCTGCACGTCAAAAAGTAACATGCACTGAAAGGTGGAAGCAAACCATCTAAGTACATGCAAGACTATCTGAAACTGAATGAGTTATGCTTGTAGCTATGAAGGTTTCATAGCTTATGCAGAATCTGCTGGTGACCCAAAAAAACATCAGCTAGAATTTGTAAGAAGTTTTCCTGGAATATATTTTCTCTGACTGCTGCTTTTCACTGGAGTCTTTCATGTCAGCGAGCGTGCTCAGTATTCTTTTACTGGCTCAAGGGTTTTGCTGGTGGAGCATCCAACGTTGCCCAAATCCTAGTGGGAAACACGAGTAAATCCAGCCAGAAACACTAATTCCCCAGAGCTGACGGGGAGTTATTAAAGTAGGTCATGGTCAGAACTGAGTGATTACAAAATATTCTGACTGTGCTTAGAGGTAGTCAGACACCTGATTTTCTTACTAGCATACCTGTTTGCCTTCTCAGAAGATGAGCAGCCAGCTCGGCTGTGGTTAGGATCCAGCGGGATCTCTAATTGTGTCTGTGTGTTACTGTGCCAACTGTGCCACCTCCCTCAGAAATTCACAGTGTTCTCATGTGAATGGAGCCTTGCTTCTGCCTTTGGGAATCTGTGCACAAAAGAACAACTTTGCTCTGCTCGGTGCATGGCTTGCAGCCTCAGTGAAATTACAAAGGCTCCTGGGATCCTACTTCCCTTCAAAACAGCAGTTCAGAAATGTTGGGATCTGTTAGCATTTCCCTCTCTGCATGCTGCAGGTGTTTCAGGAAAGGCATTAGAGTAGGAATAAATGGCCTGGATTTTCTTGGTTTTAGAAATCTCTTGAACTGCTGAATATTGCTAATCTTTGAATACCCTGCGTGTTTCCTGTTGAATGGAGCTTAGTGTGTACAAGCAAGTTTACTTACAGTCCTTGTTGGTTGGCTTTGTTTCTTCTACATCAGTGAAAAAGGATATGCCTGTGAGGGAAAAACATAATCCAGTGTTGAGTTCTTTTCTGCAGAAGAGCAATGACTGAAGTGAAATTTAAAGCCAAGTTGTTGCACCATTGCTTGTGTTTATAGCTCAGAGTAAAATTATAGAAAGTACAGGCTATAAAACCATGAAATAATTTTTCAGTTTCTCTGCTGCTAAAATGATTTGTCTTTCCCACTGCTCTTCCTATGTCTATTTTTATCCTCTTTTTTTTTTTTTTTTTTTTTTTTTTTTTTTTGTACTATTTGCATCACATCTTGTCTGATAGAATCAGGTTAGAACTAAGCCTGCTTCTGCAGGTGTAGGTCTTTTGTACTTCATTTACACTCAACTGTTCAATCTCAGCACTGAATACAAAATGTTGATTTTCTTAATGAGCTTTTCCTCCCAGCTCTGTATTCTTTAATTCCCCTAATGACATCCTTATCTCCTGCATTTAATAATCTTCTTCTGCCTGGCCTCAGGCTTGAGCCCCAGAGGGGTCCAAGCTGCCCAAATGCCCCTCAATGCCTCATCTGCCAGGGCAGATTTCCTTCCTGAATTTCCTTCCTTGAACGCTGGTAGAAGTACCCTGGCATGGCACATCCACTGATTAATCTGTGGAAAGTAATGAACATAGAGAAAGGGTACCTGCAGCAGAGGTTTTAATCCTATTTTGCTTAGACAAAACCATCAATAGCTTAGACAGTTTTTGAAGTTAAATTCATTTAAGCAGTGATGAATCTTTCAAGACAAGGTTGAAAACAGCAAAAAATGTATTCAAGAGCAACATGGAGCCTACTAGTAACTAGGTGGGTTTGCAGTGCATAAAATCCTGGAATGGTTTGGGCTGGAGGGGACCTCAAGGATCACCCAGTTCCACCCCCCTGCCATGGGCAGGGATATCTCCCACTGCATCAAGTTGCTCAAAGCCCCATCCAGCCTGGCCTTGAACATTTCCAGGGATCCACAACTTCTCTGGGCCAAATAACCCCATGAAGCCAAAACTTGCTTACTTTCTGAGAAGCAGAGCAACCTTCAGTATTTTGGGTTGCAGGAATAAATATGCACCGTGTCTTTCTATATGCAGTGTGGATGTAACCCCTCCCAGGACAGTGCAGGATAAGCTCAGCGCGGCGCCTAAACAGCCCTTTGTTTTGCCATCCTTCAGTTCTGGAGGCTGTGAATCCCACATTTTCTGCTAGCATGAAACTCACACAAAAACACAATGCTTTTGCTTTTGCATTTGGTTTCTGGGACACTAACCGTGCGTCCTGATATTCTGTAAGATGAAATACAAGTATTCGCCACAAATGCCTGCAGCATCCAGGAACTCTTCCTGGGTCATGTTGCACAGCTGTAAGCCGTTGATATTAAAATGGGAAAAGGAAATGCAGTTGGCATCTAGTTTGTACTGGTCACAGCAAAACTGCAACCACTCACAGACGTTGTGCTTACTCCAGTACTCCGGGTGGATGGATGTCCAGAAAGAATCAGAATCTGCAACATATTTGGCAAGAAAGGGGAACATTGCAATGCAAAGCTCATTGTGCACTTCATTTTAGTAAGCATGTTTCAAGCAAAACTGATCCCTCTTCCTTCTTCTCTTCTGACTGCAAACTTCCTTCCCTATTCCTTCAGAAAACATCAGGCCCTGCCTTGTGCATTTTACCGTCTCCTTTTGTCACACAAATGCTCTTAATAATTCTCAGGCATGTTGAGAGAAACTTCTTGCACATACAAAGAAAGATAACACACCTTTTAAAAAAGCAATTAAAAAATACGAAAAGGTCAGAGTACAGAATTTGTGAGAACTTGGTGGTGTGTGATAAAAATGAGTGATGCATTCCTAGACTGAGCTAACCTTTGGGCTCAGGCGTTGAAGCACTCCTTGATGACACCCAACTGCGCTCCGTGGCACATGGGTAAATGCCACTCATTTGTTGCTGCTTTTCTCATAATTCCAGCAAGTTACTTCACTCCTTTAATCTAAAATTATGTTATTAATGTCACGGTAGGGAATGCTTTTTGTTAGGTTAGAAACTGAAAAATGCATTACTCTTAACATGCCTTCCACCGGAGAAACATTTCTGACAGGTAAGGGGAAGCGTGGAAGAGCTCCTGAGTAAAATGGCCAGGGAACTGAAACCTGCAGCTACTTTGCCAATTAAATTAGCAGGCAGCTCTCCTCAGCAATGCAGGTACCAGGTGAATGTGTAGAAATATGTATGTATATGTATTATTTTATTTTATTTTATTTTATTTTATTTTATTTTATTTTATTTTATTTTATTTTATTTTATTTTATTTTATTTTATTTTATTTTATTTTTTTCCCTAGAAGAACCAATTTTAAGTATTCCTGATGTAAAATCTTGGTCTGGTGTGATAAAGCTGTACGCTGCAGCTAGCAAGCATAATCTGTGACTCACACTTTTATCTCTAGAAACAAAACACAGGGTCACAATTTCTCTCAGGTGAGATTCTCAATCAGTTGCAGGAACACCAGCCTCAAGAGATTATTGATTTCAGAGCCTATCAATTTAGGGGCTCTAAATTGATTTTGAATATATGATCTGTATTATTTCTTTTACTCTTGTTACAGACCAGTAAATAACAACAGGAGAGCAATCAAATACCGTGTGAATGAAAGTAGTACAATGGAAGCAGAAATAGTTTAGTTTATTTTTACCTCTCACAGCATCTTATTCTGGACTTATATTTAATGACTTCTTAGTCCAGCCATCCTTTTTTCCTTACTTCATTTTCAAATGAATCCTTAACTTTTGATTTTAGGCACTGCTTGTATGACATCGTCATTCAAATTAGGTTACGATCGCACTGCAAGCAAGGTGGATTGTACCTGTCCTTTGTCTAGACAACCAGTTCAGAGTGCAAAGTGATGCAAATTGGCTGGATGAGTTTCCACAGTGAAATTAATTCAAAGGGTTTGAAATTGTGACAGAATAACTGAAATATGGATCTTGCATCCTACGTGGGCTTCTGTAAAATAATTAATACTTCTAATTATAAGTCCTAAAAGTTTACAGGGGAATTTGTGGTTGCTTTCATGAATCATTCCCATGCTATAAATATCTTCATCTGTATGCACATACAGAATTAATGTAATCCTGAGTGCTGTGTTTTAAGCCCTGAGATGCTACTGTGACATCCCAGTAAAGCAAAGAGGTGGGCAGAAGATCTGGGTCTGGCTTTTGGGCCCCATCGCTCGAGGATATTTGAAGCTGTGATTTTATTCAGCTCCTTATTTAAAAGGGAAATCTGGTGAGCTTGACATTGGATCAGCTCCTCCGAGCCCTGCGGAGTGCACACACCTGGCTGTGTCAGAGGCTTCCTTGGGGGAGAATGGGAGTGCTGGAAACACCAGGCTCACAGGGCTTCTGCCAGCAAAAAAAAAAAAATCACTTCAAAATCAGGCTTGAGCTCTGCAGGAATTCCAACTGTAGAGGCTGCTCAAGAAAAGCAGAAGGCTGAATTGATCCCTTTCTGGACTGGGCAGACTTTTTATTTTTATTTTTTTTTAATCCTGTGCCAACAGCCTCCATCCCCCCTAGGAAACCTGGAGCACCACCAGGTCCCCAGCTAGACAGACGGACTGCGGAGGGGCCTCGCTGTGCGACCAGGCGTGAATCCAGCCCTGGGTGTCCCAGGCTGTGCCGTGAGCTGCAGCAGCGAGAGATCCCAGATCTTTTTGCTGCATTTGTCTACAATACACAGCCGAATGACAAAGTCAAGGCTGTCTTTCTGTCTGTCTTTCTGTCTGCAAGAGCGTTTGATGGCTCTTGTTTTCATAGAATCATATCATGAAAGAAAAGCACGACTGTTTGTTGTGCCATTCCACAGGTAGACTGAATAATCTTGAAATATTTTGGCCAGTGGTCTTGAAACTTTGACTTGACTGTGATAAACATCAGCTTTGCTGGCAATATAAATGCCACAGCATGTTTCTTTCATGGAGCAGCACTCATCTGGTCTCATTTCCTTGTTTGCTTTGGCTTTGGGAAGGCTCAGATATTTTTTTTTTTGGAATATTCCAGGGCTCTATGAAGCACTAATGTGTATGGTGAGCATTCAAAACGTGCTGACATCAAGCCGTCCTATTTGCATGTGCTCTTGCCTTTTAGTTCTTACATCCGAGCTACACATTCAGGGCAGCTTCCCCTGCTCGGCGATGGACGTGACCAAGGTACCGTGCCACTTCCAACACCCTGCTGGAAGAAAAGGTCGGCCAAAGACAAAGCCTCTGAGGGATTTTCAGGTTTTCTTTTAGTGAAAAAGAAAGGGACAGGTAGAATTTCATAGCAAAGTGCTAAAGCTCAAGGGGAAAGCCCTTCAGCAGGAGAGGAGGGGACAGGTATCTCCCTCGGTGGCGGGGGCCTGCCAGGAGCCTGCTTAAAGGAGGGTACCTGGAAGGAGGATGGTGAAGAAGAGAGCCTGGGATTCACACCTGCCCCTTCCCAGCATTTTGAGGCGATTTCCACTGCCCGTTCCATTGCATTGGCTATTTTACCATGGTTCTCCTTAAACCTGAATATTGGGACCCTGTTGTGCTGGCCAGTACCAGCTGCTGGGGAATGGCATTTGCAGACATCACCTCCCTGGGCTGCACCCGTTGTTTCAGTCTGTGGGCTTCGTTCATGTCTCCCACTAAAACTGCACCCCAAAAATGAGCCTCCTGCCATTTATCGGGGATAAATGTACATTTTTACATATTATTTTCCCTACAGTGATATTTCTGTATTATTTTCAAGCACTCAAGTGCTGGAAAAATGAAGAAAAGAAATGAAAATGACACAATATTTTCCTGTCACAGATTTTAGCTTCTTCCACTTTGTATAAAACAAAAAGGATGCTCCCTAAAATACAAGTCCTGATATGTTCTGCTTGCCAGAAAATAAAAACATGAAAAAGACCAATGTGGGATGTGTAAGGGGTGACTGACCCTGCAGTTCTCCTCCTGGGAAAGCGAGGATGGCAGCCCCAGACTGAAGGTCCCACTAAGCCAGGGTTCTCTCTCTGCTTGCGTTTGCAGGAACATTTTCACATTTTCAGAGAAAATATTTTACTTGGACTTGTACAAATATTAATTTAGGCTTGTACATAAAAATACTGGTGTCCTGTTTAGCACAGGAGCTGAGCCCAGCTATGAGCTGTAAATCAGTGATCTTCATCTGACTCTTGAGGCAGACTTGCCATCCCTTTCATCCAAATGTATAGGTTTTATACATAGTTCTGTACTTGAATAGCATATTTCCATGTGGAATATGTTTAAACTTGACCTTATACTTTGCTTCTAGTGAGTACAAAGCAGGTTTTCAAGAGTCGCATGGATCCCAGTCCTTCAGCCTGGTATTGTGACAGTGTAGGCAGTGTAGGCTGAGTGTTGTGCTGATCTACGTTCTTCTCTGGCTGCCCTAGGACTGCTCGGGCAAAGCTGGTGGCACTGCAGGAGTGGTTTTGTTTCTGTGTATTAGACATGTTCAGTGTGCTCCCTGGCTGCTGTGGAAGAAAGGAAGGAAATGATAAGGGGACTCACAGGTTCTACAAGGTTGGATTAAATGTAATACAGGAAAGAAATTATTGTAAGCATCAAGAGTGTATAGAAAGCCTAAAAGCATCAAAAAATGAGCAATAGAAAACATGCAGAAAAGGAAATGTAGCTTTTACCATAGTCAGCAAAGGCTAATTATCTTCCCAGCTCAGCTGTGCTTAGCAAGAGGGATTCTGACATGATTGCTGCACAGGACCCTGTGTCTTCAAGCTGAGAAAGCTTTGCTTGTAGCTCCAGGTGGAGCTTGGCTTAACACAGCTGTGGGGTACACACACTGCACTGCTCTTCACCTGTGTGAATGCAGGGCTGAGCAGCTGCTGAGTCACAGAGCTTGCACTGATAACAGGGATCACACAGCAGGAACACTAGAAATTGTCAAAATGACTCTGAAGGGATGACTCTGAAGGGCAAAGCCCTTGGCAAATGCTGATCTGCTGGTATCAGAACTCCCCTTGGGATTATTTCAATTTCAGGTGTTTTTGTTTGTTTTGTTGTTGAAAAAAATAAAAAAAAAAAAAAAAAGAAAGAAAGAGGATGCAATAGCAGGCAAATCTTAAGTAAAAATCAGTGCAAAATAAGAATTATTGTGACTGATCCAAAAGAAAATTGAATTGCATGAGGTATTTTGAAATGCAATTTAAATTCTAAACCAGAATACTTTCTGTGACTTTTGTCATTTCGAATGTACTTTAGAATTTCATTCTAAATTGGAATGAAAACTAATATTAAAACTCTCTATCTCTCTATATATTTGAATAAAAAATCAATTTCTGCAGGGCTTTGAAGACAAGCATTTAGTAGAAGCAAGAAGATTTATGTTCTACCTCATACGTCACACAAACATTGAATGGACAAATTCAGCAATATTGAAGCAAAACACTAAGTCCTCAATGGTCAGGGATTAGCACCAGGAGAAGCCATGTGGAAAGTTTTTTTCTTTATTACTCCAACTGTGCCTTGGCAGGAAAGGACTTTTCCTTAAGACCAACAGTGTTCTCATTTAAAAGGACAAAAATAGCTTTGTAAGAGAAAAATACTGCATAAACCCATAAATCTTCCTCAGCCACAAGTTTGGCTCAGTAACGTGACTGGGTTGTGCTACCTTTCTTTCCAGAGCCAGTTGAATGATTTAGCCTGAGTGCAGAGAAGAATATCAGCACTATTTAGGAGTTTAAAGCAACTGTTTCAAAGGGAGAAGATTTGGAATGAGTTCCTTCGGACAGCTGGGATGCCCGTGTGAGATGCGTGGCCTGGAGCAGAACAGGGTTTCCAAATGCAGAGGTAGAGAATTGCACAGTTCCCTATGCATAGCCCATAGCTCCCTGCCCCAGTTAATGAACCACACCGTCCTTTGGGAGCTCCTGCTTGCATGTGTATCACCTTGCCACACGAGGGGAAAGCATCACTGAAACACATAGCACTGTAGAACTGAAGCCACTACTAGTTAATATTATTCCTTTATCTTGCATGGCTAGTTATAGGTTTTAGGTTAGTCAGACTAGAAAAAAAGAAAGGCTATAATAGTGGGCTCAGCCTGTTTGCTACATGATCAGAACTGAAGTAAATTAAATTCAAACCATAACATAAGTTATTGATATTGCACATTCTTTTCAATTGGAGTCTGTCTACATACCTGTCTGATGATCACAGGTGGGATAGCCATCTTCAGTTGTCCCAAATAACTCTGTCCAAGACATCAGGGGATCACAAACCATTGCGTTTGACAGAAATGTGCTGTGGGTTACTGAATCCAGCATCACCTTGAGATATTAATACATTAGTAGAAGATGAAAAGATAATATTAAGAACCTACTTAAGACCCTACTTTATAAGGTGACAGGCATGATTTCCTTGTTGTGGATATGTAGATCTGTGATGTACCATTGGCCACCATCACCTAAACTTCTACCAAAGCTAATGATTACCTCCTGAAACCTGCAGATGAAGGAGCTAAGAAATTTAAGAGCAATGTAGCTGACAAACATACCCTAGGTAGTTTTACAGTAAAGATGATTGGAATCACACATTCCTAGGGAGTGAAGGATAAACCATAAAATAACATTATAATTAACATTATGATTTAATGAGATTGGTGTTAAAAAATATTTGAGCAAGTCCCTATACAGTCCCCGTGATGAAAAACATCATTCTGGTCATAAGGATGCTCCCTGTGTCCATAAGACACTGCCACAAATCTTAGCCAGTGTAGAGTGTGAGGAGATTAACAAGGTCTGAGAAAGAAATGCACTTTCAAAGAAGATTAGAAACTGAAAATTTACGTGGAAAATTGGGAAACTATTTCAGAGGTTGTATGCTTTAGGGAAGATGATTCTTGCACCAAAAGTGAGACAGCTGGTTATATTTCAGTGAAGAAGATGAAAAAAATACATATCTATGACATGAACTAAAGCTGGTACAGAAAAAGAGAATTTGTGGTCCACCCCCCTTCTTTATGCATGTATCACATACGTGCAAGTACGCACACATGCATTTCGCTGTTCTTCGTGGCTGAGACTCCTGATACCCAAGACCCTGGACCACCTCGTATGCAGCTTAGTAGAAATGGTGATCATTTAAGAGATGTGAAGGAAAGAATTAAGTGGAATTTAAACCCACAGCTCTTTATGTCCTAGTTTCTTTTCTGGGAGAGACAGGAATTGTTCCATGGACTAGCTGCTGTGAATACATAAATGGACCTGATTTTGGCTCTTGCCTTTTGGAGTTCAGACAAAACTGCTCAAGCCAGTTTGGCTCTTTTCTTTAGACCTAAGCTGCTTCTGCCTTTCATAACTAATTCCAGCTTGGGTAATTTCTAGCAGTAAGACACCTGAGCTAGTTAATAGGATAATATAGTCTTAAAGATCAACCCCAAATCAAAAGTTGTACAAATAGCTGCATATAGTGAGAAAATGTGAAGGATTCAAAAGTTTTCACAGATAAATTACAGAATTCAAAGATAAGTCCTATCTTAGTGTAGGTGATGTACTGATGAGATATGGAATATGGAAACATTTGGGAGGCTTCTGAAATCTTTTGATATACAGGAATTTAAATGTAGGGCAAAGTAGTATTTCAAAAACATTATATTTCCACTTAATCATATCATTATGAATAGAACATATGAGTATTTAAACCATCAGTCATTTTAGTGAATGTATCCAAAGAGTCTCTCCTCTGTGCATCTCTGCCAAAGGATTGAGTGTGAAATAGCTCCTGCATGTATATATATACACACACATATATAAATGTGTATATATATGTATATGTATGTGTGCATATATATATAATTGTGCTTTTGGATGAACCCCATATATTCAGTGAGCAATAAAGAATTTTACTCAATTAATGCAAAGTGATCCATATGAGTCTACCATGTCCTGTCTCAGATACAGCAGGATTGCCAGAATATAATATTAGAGTTTAGGACGTGATTTTTTTTATTCCTTTGAGTTACTGGCCCACACAGAAAAAGTTTCCCAATGTCATATCTGTTCACAGTTAATTTAGAAAGTCAAAACAGTGGCACTCTGAATTGCTGCAGAATATAATCCAAATGAAAAGAAGCACATAATGCTTATTTAACTTTTTTCTTCAATTGTGTTTATGTTTAATTCGGTTGCTGGCATGAGATGATGCTGGCTAACGATACCCAGAATTCTGAAATTCACAGTGGTAGAAAAAAGCCAAGCATTCTGTACTGTGGTGCCAGTGTATTGACACAAGTGTCTCTGTAAAACAAGGGATTTGACACCTATTCATGCTTACTACCTGTGCAAAAGGGAATTAGTATTTGACACAGCAGAAAATCAATTCTGACTCTCTTGAAATCAATGCAAATTTTTTTTTCCACAAACTTCAACGGAAGAGTTTCACCTCTCATTCCTCACCAAGGGGTGGCAGGACAGACACACGCAGAAGAGCTGGATAGAAACAGTGAAGAAGGGAGGGAGAACTACAAGTCGCTGATAGCCCACTTCAGTAACGCTGGACGTTGCCAGGGATGTACCTACATCTGTGCAGTCAGTGATCCCAGTCTGGCACTGCTGAAAAAGGTAGAGACCTCCAGGACACGTGTAGAGACAATGATCTTCCCAACCATGCCCTCGGCAGCCAGCATACCCCATTTCCCTGCGACTGTCACCCCCCAGGCAGCACAACGAGCAGCCGGCTGTGAATATACCCCAGCACCAACTGAGTAGGCAGAAATAACTCCCCGAAAGCCAACTGCAATTTTGGAGAAGTGAATAGAATATCTCTGCAGATAATTGGTGAGACGTGTTTTAGAAATGATTGCTAAGATAACCTGTTCAAAGCATCTCCACAACTCTCCATACCTGCCTACCCGCAAATAAGGCTTTACACAGAGAAATGTCTGGAGTGAAATCCCAGTCCTACTCAAGACAATTTTCCCCTCAAATTCTTCAAGGACAGAATTTCACTGTTTATTTCTACTGCTTCTCAGCAGAAAATAAATTCTTTCTGACAGTTTCACAAGTTTAAGAGTTACTTTTGCTTGAAATTCAATTGAAAAAACGTGAGAGGAAGGTGAATTCAACACATTCTCTGCAGTACAAATCATTTCTCATTTGACTTTGACTTTTTTAGGCTATTGCTTTTAGTGGAAAGAAAAATTAGTTGGAAATAGTGATGGCTTAGATAAAATAATATGTTACATTGCAAGGCTATAATCATTTCTCCATCTGGGTAAGATTTAGCTAGAAAAGGATGAAGTTATTAGTATTTGCATTATTGCTGTCTGAATGGTAACGACAGTTTAGTAGATTTAGTGCCTTGCTTCTGAATTTTCATGGCGATTTTTTCCGAGGTGGAAAGTCGATTTGCACAGGGTAAATGATACTTGGGAAGATGGATGAACTATTGCAAGAGAAGGGGAATCTGAAACAGAGCCAAAGCCACTGGATCTGGGAAAGTTCAGAACTCAGCACATGCTTGGTTTCATACTTTACTGTGAAGAAAACCTGTTTGTCTGAACTGGAAAACTAATTTTGTGAAGTGGACAGGAAGCCTCAGTCCCTGCTGAGAACTGGACCTGGACTCACAGGTGTGTGGCAAAGCTGCCAGCCCCACATCCCACCAACAGGTTTGACCACATGCTGTGACAGGCAGCAAAAGCCATTTAGGAAGGAAAAATCCTGTTTTACCCATGTGCAGTTTATGCTGTTACTCCTATATAGAGCTATGCATGTTCCAGAAAATAATGTTAATTCTTAATATCATTAGCAAAGGTAATCTCTTTTAAATATTTATGCAAACAGGATATTGGTTTGGGTCACATCAAATAGTATTTCACTGCTTATGTACACACACACATATCTGCTTAAATACACTCTTGGGACACAGAAAGGGGAAGAGGCAGTCTGTTTAAACAACAGGAGGGCTTTACAATATTGGTTTTGCTCCAGCTGGTGCCTGGTTGGAAGAAGCAATTAATTAGCTGTCACATTACAAACATTCTCGTTTGATTTAATGAGACAGGTCTGGATCGTTAATTTATTAAAAAGCATTTGTTGGGGTTCATGCATGTCTCCTCTATTAATTCATTAAACCAAAGTCAATTGTTTATCATTGAGAAAACAGGTGATGCACAAATAGGAATGGCAGGCAGTACATCAGTTGGGTGCCTGATAAATCATCACAGCAAAAGGGTAGCTGACAGCCCTTTAGAAAATAGAGACTTCAATAAAGAAATGGAGCTTACTTGTAGGAAGGCGCTTACTCCTGAAGCAGCAGCTAAATCCAGAAGGTCTTGGGAGCAAGGGGGAGCAGGAGGCTTTAACAGCAGCACAGCCCGGCACTTTGGAAATAAAGCCACCTGCAGGACTGTGATATACGGAACACCTTACAGACAGGTTTGTTTGGTTTTTCAAGTTCTTATACACACCCCTTCTGATGACAGTGATAATATATAGTATAACACAGCCCAGAGAATGGGGGAGAAACATTCTGAAGTGCAGAAAGTTTACCTTTATTCTGTATTGTTTTTTTCTGCTCCTCTAAAGTGTTGATTTACGTAAGCCTGACTCTTGGACCACCTTAAGCAAACCTGGTGTGTGTAAGTACTTGAACTGAGGAGACTCTTTCACTCTTTCTTTTACATCCTTAGCAGGTAGGAAGGACTATTGCATTATGCTTAGAGATCTCAAAGCCTGGAGAAGTGGCATCCTCACCATTTGCTTCTGAAAAGGACCAGGATGCAGCAAAGTGGCTGGCTTAAAATCATGGAGCAAACCACTGACAGTGTTAGAGGAAGGACATTGTTCACCTGATGCCAAGCAACATCTCTGCCTGGTACATCTCACAGTGTTCCTGAGATCCATGAAAACCTACTGGGCTCCAGCCCAGATGCAGCTGCCTTTAGGTCTTAAATGACTGCAAAGTGATTTGAATTTTCATGAGGAGGATGCTTGGCGTTATTAGAAGCAACAGATCAGAGACACTGACAGTGGAGAGAATGAATTGGAAAATAAAATGAGCATATCTAATATAAAAGGGCACTTCTTTTAAATATAAATGAGGAAGAGCTTCGGTCAGCCTAGATCAAAATATTTTTATGCCCCAGAGCTCCATGTTAATTAGTAGTCTCTTGAGGATGCCTGCGTAAACAGCTTGAGTTAAAGGTTTAGGCAAGTATGACACCTCAGTTCTCCCGAGAGGTGCTACTTCTAATACTGAAAATACCTCGTCTTTTATGTTTTAGGTGGGCTTTTGACTGAGGTTTTCCTGTCTTCAGAAACTCCTCAGCTGGAATTGTCATTCGGGGAGGAGAGGTGGAGACATTAATTGAGACAAATACTGTGGCATTAGCTCCCAGGATCCCTTTGGCTTAGTCTTCTGCTTGCCTTTATGCTCCTGCTCCAAGCAGAGGCACTCATTTGCCCCATTACCGTGGTGTCAGGGAGCCTCCCCAGCTTCATGCTGCTGCTCCTGTGCACGTCTTGCTGTGAGGGAGCTGCACACTGTGGCCATATGAAGAGGTGGCCCTGCTGCAAGGCAGCGCTGTTGTGTGTGTGAAGGAGGGCAGAAGTGACTCAGAGGGACATGAGAGCTTCATGATGCATGTCCCCAGCGCAGAGAGGCACAGCATGTCAGGACACACTGCTGATGGGGCTGGTGGTGGCCACCCAGGGGCAGTGTCCTGGCCAGCCGGGTCAGGGCAGCACGATGTACCGGCACGCTTGCCTTCAGCTACCCAGGAACATCACTGGGGCTTGGTCTGAGGGCTCCCATGGGGCCCTGTTCTTTTTTTCTTGCTTATTTTCTTTTCCTGCCTTTATTTATTTATTTATTAACTGACTAGGTTACCTGTCTTTTCCCATTGTTTCTTTCCTATTTCCTTCTCACCGTTCTTCCATCTTTCCTCACATTCCTTTAAAAACAGCCAAATGCTAGAGTTTGCTTCTCCCAACGGGGCAGATGCCTGTGTACTGTGACAGCTTCATTGCAAGCAGGTCTTTTCAGAAACCCAGCCCACCATGTGTGTAAGGCCAAATAAATTAGGCTGTGCCATAGCTAATCCGTTTGTCCAGAGCAATGGTCTGGGTTCCTGCAGTGTGACTTTTGCATTGATACAGCGGGACACAGACTGTGAGATCATCCTGACAGGAAATGCTTGCTAACCTTATAAACATCAATAACTGTATAAATAAGGAGTAATAGTTACTATGTCAAATAACAAAGAGATCTGCAAGGCTGTGTAAATGCAGTATGATTGGTATATCCCAAAGAAAAGAGCCACAAGAAAAGATGATTTTCCTTCTCTTTCCCTCCAACAAAAATAAAGTAATTAAAACCAACTCAGTTTGCGAGGGTGTAGAAAAAGACTTCTCTCTTGATGCTGTTCTGAAGACGCCTCTGCGCTGCTGAATTCTCAAGGCAGCACTGGTCCGTGCCGTGTGCTTTGTCTTGCACTGGACTGCCTGAGCCTGGGCACTGAGCACATGAACAAAGACTTTGCAGGTTTAAATAAGATTGACTGGGCTCCTGAGAGTAGCAGGAAGAAGTTATTATTGGATTAGCCCATGACACCATCTTTCACAATTTTTAATAAAAGTGCCACTCACAGAGCTTTGCAGACTGATCAGGGAAGTATTGCTGACAAGTGCAAATGGACACTAAAGATTTCCACAGTGAGATGTTTCTGATCCAAATGCAGCTCAGATTTCCACTGGCTACAATGAACTTTGTTCACAGTCTATTAAGCTGGGTTCGTCTGATATTCCCTCACTTTATGGCCCATTATTATTTTTTATCTCTTGCAATCATCTGAGTGACTCCTCAGAGACTTTGGCTTATATTAGATGGTCTGGAAAGTGTGCGGGTGAAACAAGAATGATAATGCTTACAGTAAATACTAACCTAGTTTTTTTCTTTTAGCTGTGGCAGCATAACCTTGAATAACTGTTTCTTCCAGTCTGAAATAATGAACACCAAACAACACAGGACCAGCTGCCCTGCCGTAATGAACACACCTCTACATTAGTGCAATGAACACACCTCTACATTAGCATGGTCTAACTGTGTGCACCTTGGGCCATACATCTCCCAGGCACCATGTCCCATCCCAGTGAGGTCTGCGTTGCCTGTAGCAGCAAAGCAAAGCAAGCTTTCCCTTCATCAGTTTTTCCTTCAGACTACCAGTCAAAATGTCAACGGAAACAATCAAGTACCAATGAGATACCAAATATCAGTGAAAAGGCCCTTATCAGCTCTCCTCAGCATATCTGAGACCATAATGACTTCATGGTTTCTTTCATCCTGATATAAAACTAATCTGAGTGTCTTTTTCCATAGCAGACATCAAAATGGGCAAGGTAAGAGAAAAAGCTTCTATCAGCATTTTTAAAAGAGAGGCAACATTAAGGGTAAGTGACAATATAACAGTAAATTACACAACCAGTCTCTAAAATGAAAGATAGGCATTAAAAGCACATTTACAGTTAACAAAATGGATGAGATTTCTTGGAACAGCTTGGAGGGATCTTTTAAAGGGATAATACTTACAGTACATGAAAATATTTTTTTCTTCCAGCTACAATAGCAAAAAAAAAAAAAACCCTATGATTAACTTTGTTTCCTCCATTCAGAACTGACCAACACCAAACAAGTCAATGTCATAGCAGAGGATGTGCTGAACACACTGTATCACATCTTTAACCCTGCATATGTAGATCCTCCAAACAAGAATCATGCCAAATTTCCCAGAATATGTAGAAGTTTCTGAGCCATCTATCTGGAAATACATTTACTGGAAAAAGACATCCTACTTAACCAGACGGACTGAATGTATTAATTAAAGCTTTTTCTCTCTCACAGAGATGCCCTCACAGATCCTGACATACTTCTGAAGAACTATAAGAGAAACAAACATCTGGAGATTTAGCAACATGCATGAAATACACTAAATAAATATTACATCACTGCCTCTTCAAGTGTGCAACCCCACCGTGAGCCGCCGTCAGGGATCCCGCCCTGACATTTGCAGTGAGGGTAAGTAACGATGTTCAAAGAATCTAGGTATTTAAGTAGACTTTAATGTTACTGGGATATTGCTGTGATGTGATTGTGCATTGAATTTCTTAGGCACCTAGGCTGGCACAGATGTGGTGTTCAGACAGTTGACATAACTCTCTGTGAATTTGTTCCATGGCCACCAATGGATGACAATTCAGAGCACGAACCAACCACTGATGATGTGCACAGTCACGTGCAAAAGAGACTAACTTGCACTGGCTCAGTGTGCAGCTCCCTAAGGAGCTGGAGCCTGATGATCAGATCAATAGATGGGGGAAAAAAAAAAAAAACAACACAGAAACACCACTACCAAAAAAACCACCAAACAAACAGAATTTTAGATTTTTTTTTTTTCACATTCCTGTGTTTCTAAACCTACTCCAAGCATCAATGTATTCCTGCCATGATCTGCTGATTCCTGACAGTGATTCAGTGCGTTTACCTTTTGCAGCACTACAACCAAAATGTGATCAGATCATAGGTAGATATGCCCAGACTATCTCATTTCTGTTAACACTGTGGTTCTCAGCATTGACCAGAGGCATGAACAGTTAGTTATTCAGGTTTTGGTTGGTTGGTTTTATAACATATGCTGATCTCCAGCAAGTATTCAGTCTCCTAAAAGGTACCAATTTTCCATGTTCTTGTCTATGTAATCCCAGAGCCAGTACTACTGACTAGAGACAGATGAGTCTATTACTGATGATACAATTAACATCTTTAAACAAAGCTGCAGAACACCCCAAGTTCCCAGCATTTCCTCTGACATACCATTCCCTTGTATCCTAGAGATCTTCTCCACCAAACAGGGTGGGGTTGGAGAATGATGGAAGCTCTAACAATCTCCTCAGCATTAGCTGAGATGATTGTTGTATGTTAAAAATTCACATTCTGCACATTTTATGCTCTAGAAGATTTTTAGTGAGAAGCCATAGTTGAATATTTTCAACATTAATATCAAAACTGGTGGCATAAATAAATATTGAGAAAAACAAAGCCTGACTAGAGACTTCATGGTCAAGACTAGGCAGCACCTGGGCCTTTTGAGTTTCAGCAGCATGATTTTGACTTCTCTGTAGCAATGGCTGCTGTGCTGGATTCACTTTAGTGAAGAAATGTCTTTGTGCGCTTTGTAACTCAAGAAATGGGATTTTCCACACCATGGGAGAAGTTGTTGCTTTCTCTTCTGCTTGTTGGCCTCTCTTGCTTGACAGAAAGGAAGCAGGACCATGGACTGATCTCAGCTCACCAGGATGATGAAACACTTCTCCTTTTAGCTCCCATTCGAAGTACATTAGCCACCTCCCAGTTTTAGATGCT